AAAAAAAGGTTCTTTTATAACTGAATGATTAACCCCTTATTATAGAAATGAATCCCTATTTATAGGCAAGGGGATATAATTACATGCTTGCCCCTGCTTTTATGAGGGCATTATAAGGTATTTTAGGTGAAAGAAAAAAAATAAGGCTTTGGCTCGACTACCCTATCACAAATTGCCAACTAAAATCGCTACTCTTTAGGTCAGCAAGACAAGGCTCATTCGCTTGACTCTATTGAGTTGAGGCAGCCGGTCAGCTTTGGTTGTATTTCATTCATCCAGACTTCATCGGACCTGCTTGGTCAGCGGTCAGCTGCTTTGGCCTGGCTATCGACTATGGACTCTTAGATGAAAAGCTCTTGCACCAAGATTAGACGAGGTTGTCAAGCAAATGGTAAATCTCCATTATTCAACAAGTAGCCTACCTCTTAATAGGAGATCTTTCTTGGTTGTCTGTGAAGTGTTATGATGAGAAGCTTGGGACTTGAAGAGACTTGGGGGTTCTTGTGAGGCGGCTGACAATATGGGTATAATAGTTGAGTTGATGCATTCTCTTGATTTGATGTTCCTGATCTTCGACTCTAGCTGCCTTAATTCAGCCGGCTCTAGATCCTGCTCCATAGAAACTGTATCCGTTGATGTGAACATTAATCTTCTTTTCGTGGGTCATCCTTGACCGTACTTTTCTTTTAATCCCTTGAATTTCCTCGAAATTTGTGTTGATGCATTTTTTGCATACACTCCTATAAGACACAATCAAGACCAATATTTCCTCCTAAAGTCTCCTAAAGTGGACGTAAACATTTGAACTCGCCTAAAAATATTATAATGCCCGAATGTTACTCTTTAGGGTTTAGCCCTTTATTTTTGTCAGATAATCTTGAATGAGGCTAAACCCTTTTTGGGACCTTCTTTTCTCATACTTCCTTTGATGATTATCTCAATTGAGAATGACTAATCACAAACATGCCCTGTACTTTCCTGTCATTATTTACCAAAATGCAAATAACTTATGATAAATTGGTCTTCTTACCAGTACATTAATCATTTTCACACTCATCACTGCTTACCTCAAACCCTGATCTATCAATGGTTGCCTGAATTACTAAAGCACTAAAGCTTCAAGTTGGATTCTAACCGCCCCAATTCTTCCATGTAGGCTACATTGCCTCGTTGCTTTCCAAGCTTTTTCTTGTTTTAATCATCTCAGAGGTGTTGCATTTAAGCTCCATTAAACAGAGGCCTCCCTCTGCCAATAGACTTATAACTCTTATCTGAAAATTAAAATCCCTTTCAGAATCATTCCAATTATAAACTACACTTGAGCAAAATTGAATTGCTGCTTTTACATATTTGCAAAATGATACATAACCTGTAAAGGGAAAATGAAAAAAAACAAAAAAAGGTTACAAAATAGGAGGATTTGCATCCATACCCCTCAATTCCTATATATTTACACATCTAACACCTAAAATACCTAAAATTCAATTTTTACATCCTAAAATTCAATTTTTACATACATGCCACTTTACCTATGCAGGAAAAAAAAGGTGTATTTCACTTTTTACAACTTAAAATTGTGGCAAGGATTTGAGTGATAAAAATGTAAAAAAAAATAAAGTTTAGGAGTTAGATATGTAAATACATAGGAATTGGATGGTATGCATGTAAATGCCTCTAAAAAATAACAATAATTTCAAAGATTAAAAAAAAATGCGCGTCCCGGAGCTCGACAATAATATTACAAAACAAATCTACATTTGAATTTTATTGAAACAAAGGAAAAAATCACAGGCAAACAAGTTTGTAAAACCAATTAACCCAAGAAACTTTAAAGAGACCACATTTACAATTTAAGCATCTCAAAATAGAAGCTCAAATAAACATAATCAGTTGGCATAATAGTATCAAAATATAAATTAAATAGTATATAAGGGCATATAAAAATCACAGCTTGTGCCAATCATACATTATTATCACCTTAAAATGAGTAATCCTTGAGACCTGCATCCATATCATTCAGTTGCATCTCAGCCAAGCATTCCTCAGCGCTTAAAGGAGGAAGCTGCCGCGTTTTCCTTCTCAAATTATGCTTGTGCCAGTCACTTTTAAAGTGCTCTCTGTACTGTTTAACATCTCCCACAATTGCATCACATGTGCTGCATTTGTTTTGCTTGATCTGTTCTTCTGTAGTTTTATTTTCACTTGAGATATTATTGCTCATAATTTTCTTCCCCAGTTCAGCTACAGCTTCAGTTTCTTGGACAGAACTTGATTCAAGGTCTTTTGCATTATCATATAGGTAGACATTGGTATCCCCTTCCAGAAATACAGATACAGCAAGTATTTCCAACTTCCCTTGAAAGCCGCGAACGAAAGCGTCGCAATCTCGAAAATGTCCTGGATCTATTTCGCAAACCTGAACCAAAATTATAAAATTAACAAAAAAAAAACGAGTTAAAAAAATGCCATTTTGAGAAAAAAAAAGGGACAATAAACAAGAAAGGATCATTTGCATGGAAAAAAAAACTGCTGAAAAGATTTTAAATGAAAGCATTCATTGCCCAAATTTTAACCAAGAAAAAATTGACAACTCGGTTCAAGATTTTTCAGAGCTTCATTACTTCTCAAATCATTTCAAGTTATGCTCAAATCAAACCACCTCTTTTTCATACATTCAAAAACTATTTTTACTGAAACTAAAGATTTAAATTAAGAAAAGAGGAAAAGTAGCAATCAAGATGTTGAAATGGGCCAACAAAAGTATGTGAATGAGCATTTTCCTTTTTAGAATATACACAGAAAGAAAATTCTTAACCATTATAAAACAAATCAAAGATTCGAGAGGCATGCAACATCACACACTACATCCAAAATGCCTTTCTTTTATATATAAAGGGGTGGGTGGGTCACACCCCAACTGACCCCGCTTTTTGGTCAACCGTAGTGCAACAAAGACGAACCATTTGGTCATGACTAAATTCTCATCAACACTCGTCCTAAGTTGCATGATCAGGACTCAAGCTGATGAAGTAGTCTAACTAAATCGCTGCAAACATATATAATACATTTCATTCATATTCATATACTTGGAAGTGTGGAAAATCATATTTAGAAAATATATATCTATACAAAACTGTTAAATCCAATAAAACAGAACTACGTACTCAAAAGTTTGTGCAAGCTCCCAAATCAATATAATGCAAAAGTTATATAAGTCATGTTTAGCTACTCGACTCGGTGCTCCTTACCCCTTCCTGAAAGTCAACAACGTAGAGTGAGCTACAATAGCTCGACGAAATAAGCAAGTTAGAGAAAAATTTTACAGAAGAAAAAGAAACATACATGATCACATGTACATGTCTACAACACGTCATAACATGCTATAATCATATAAAATATGTAAAAAAAAGCATATAATGTATGAAGTCATGATTGTTGCATAAAACCTGCATGTCATAGGCATAGCACGGTAATTATAGAAATGTCACTTGTAATTTTGTCTCAATTATTTTCATGTAATATCATGTCAATGGGTCGTCACCCAGTTTAAATGCTACATTAATTATTGATAAATGTTGGGCTCCCCTCAACTTAGCATTTATAAATAGCCCCTTGGAACCAATGGATCCCTATATTTCGTCCTCGTTTGATCCCAACGGTTCCCGAAATTTCGTCCTCGTCTGAACATCAGGAGTCGGGAATCTTATCGCTTCTATCATCTATACTTGCAAACATTCATGTAATAACTGACCTAACATCACTTGTGACATTTCTTAAATCATAATTTCTATAACAAACATTCATCATAAGCATTTTATATATCATATGCATCAATCAGAGTAAATGAATACCTGCATATAATGATTTCACAATCATATTCATGAAACTCATAGCATATGAAAATCATAGGTATTGTAAGGTATAAATCAAATTTGCATTCAAACGGTTTATGCAGGAATTTATCAACAATATGCAGAAAATATTAAAAACAATTACTTCAAATACAATCACATGAAAACATACAAATAGTTGATTTCCTTATATTAACGCAAGATTATTTTACCTGAATTGACAGAGCAGCCCTAGGACAAATTTCCCCAATCTCGACTCGAGCTCGCTGCCAAGTGCAAACAACCTGAAGTTTGTAATCCCTGAATAACTCATGAAATTCATAATTGAGATCATAATTTAACCTCAAATATGATCGGGCTTTAACTTGCCTTGAAAAAGCTTATCAACATAAATATGTCTCAATACCTTTCTATTCTATTCTCTTCTTCCTTTTCCCTCAACCCTTCCCCAGCTCTTCAATTGGACCTACAAGTGAGAGTAGCTCTTAGTTCCACAATCCCTTAGTTGTTTCCGCAAAGCTTTAGTAACAGGGAACACACATAATGCCTCAATTCATGGTAAATGAAAAAATAAAATCATAGGGAAGGAAAGGAATGTTTGAAATATCATGAAAGATGACCTTCTACCTTTCGTTTTCTCCTTGGAACCCGGAATCACATGATTACGCTTCTTGCGGTTGCGCATATCTCGCCAGATACATAGACTGAGCAAACATTCCCACGAGAGGAATGAATTGGGAGGAATGGGGCGTTCATGAAGCTTCCTATGCATTATTAACCATCACCATCCCCCCACCCAACCACCACCACCGAACAATGAATCTCAGCCACTTGATTGCATCCCATGGCTGGAAATCGCAAAGGTCAATGCCCACAGTGTCGAGGGAGAGATCAGGAAGTTAATTAAGATTAATGAAGTTTAATTAAAGTTTCATTTTATAATTTTATATCTTCTCATATGTTTAAAATTCATGTATAACGTTATTTATCAAATTGATTAGTTCAAGAAGTACAATTTTATAAAATTGACTCGATATAAATCTGAGAGATATAAAAATTGAGATATTTTTAAAATTGTCAAAATTTTATTTGTTTTCTCAAAATTGCATTGCATTTCTCCCATCATAAAAACTATGTCCTCAAAATTTCTAAATTTACTAGAAAAGAAAAAGATATTTTTGTTGCATTTATTTTTTTTCCCCATGTTATTTCTTTTTATGGCCTGCATTTTCATTTTATCTTAACAAAAGAAATATGTCTGGCCCTCAACTTCTTAACTTCTATTTCTACACAAATACTTCCCAACATCACTACATTAATCAAAGAATATTGTGCATTCTTATCACAAGAAAAATAAATAGACTTATCGCCAAGCAAACTGATTTCACACGCCTGTTCCAATATTCAATTCTAGCAAAATTCTTTACTAATCAGTTCAACCCCAATATGTCTGAATTTGTATTATGATTAATTCTTCTTGCAACTTTCTATCAGAAATAAGAATATGCACAAAACAATTCTTTTTTGGGTAGAAACCAATTCCCGAAGGCATACTAACACACAAGGCATAAGTAAAATACATAATATCAACGAATAAGCTGACAAAAAACCCTTCAAAAATGAAAGAATGCAATGAACCTGAACCGAATAAATAGTCATTGATTTAAAATCAGAAGCATGCATATAACCACTTCTTCATATTATTTAGCTTCTCAAGGGTTTAGTGCAAAAACTTTGGTCTTCGTCGGTTGCTCATTTCTACGCTCTGAAGCTTCACCCCTTTGTTAAGTTGAATGATTTCCCAAAAAATGAATTTTGCATGATTGGTCATCTTCCAAAAGTTTTCTGGGTTGACCTGATCCATTAAATGTTGGTAGTATGATCTCTTTCCTTTTCCTATGAGCAGCACATCTATTGTTGCCCTGATTGCCCACATCTATACTTTTCTGAACTCATTAAGCACTACCCAAAATATCTTTTTCTACACTTTTCACAAACTGACATTTTTGACTGCGGTTGCTTCTAGTTAACTTCTGATTTAAGCTTCTTGCTTTGATGTTCTTCTCCCTTGTCGAAAACTTTTCGTTTGCTCGCTTGGGATTGTCAACACCGATTGAGGAAGTTCAGCTCATTTTCAATTTTTCTAACCCTTTCTACTAGCATTGAGAAATCATTTGTTTCAAAAGGAGTCGAAGTTAATCTCAACTAATCTCTGAGGGCGCGCAAAAACCTGCAACATTTTTTTTCCTGGGTACTGACATAATAGGGTGCATATCTAGAAAGAGAAGTAAATTCCATTTTATATTGCAATGCTAATCAGGTTGAAGGCGGAATGAATCAATCGTTGAAGACTTAATAAATTCATTCCATTGAGTCTATAGAAGAGATGTCAGCTTAAATTTCTATGTTGTGCCCACTACCACCTCTTCGCCTCTCCTGGCATGAAAATGGCTAGCACCACTCTCCCATCTCTGGACAAATCAAATATCCAAAATCTTTCTTATCTTTAATAGTCAATCTTCAGTAGTTATAGGGTCGTTAACACATTTAAATTCACGTGCCTTGAATGTTCAAAAAATCTTTGAATATTGATATGTCTCATATATTATCTTCAGATTTAAGCACTGCGTTGGTAGAAGATCCTTCAATAGTAGTCATTTTGTTCGAAATTTCATGAAAGATGACCTCCTACCTTTCGTTTCTTCTTGGAACCCCGAATCACATGATTACGCTTCTTGCGGTTGCCCATATCTCGCCAGATACATGGACTGAGCAAACATTCCCGCGAGAGGAAGGAATTGGGAGGAATGGGGCGCTCATGAAGCTTCCTATGCATAATTAACCATCACCATCCCCCCCAGAATTCACATTTTAATAACTTCGCATGTGTTTTATTCTGAATCTGCACTCAATACTATCATAAGATGTTTGGCATGATCATCACCAATCCTTGAATACGTTAGAATATCACCAATAGAGATAATGACAAACTGATCTACATAAGACTTAAATATTTGATTCATGAAGTTCATGAACACGACAGGAGCATTCGTTAATTCAAAAGGCAGAACAAAGAATTCATAATGACCATATTTGGTCTTAAAAATTATCTTAGTTACATTTACCTACTTAATTGTAACTTGATATTCTGATCTCAGATCAATTCAGAAAAATACAAAAGTGTCTTGCAACTGATCATACAATTCATCAATCATGAATAATGGATATTTATTCTTGATTGCCACCTTATTTAGCTCTCTATAATCAATGCATAATCACATAGATCCATCTTTCTTCCTGAAAAATAATGCTGGAGCACTCCAAGGTTAATTGTTTGGCCTGATAAAACTAGGATATTTTCAATTCCCGCTTTCACTGCATTAATCAAAGAATATTATACATTCTTAACAATTGGAATTTGGTATTGAACTAGGATGTTGTTCAATTCCCGCACATTTTTATGCAAAACTTCTAATTTAGCTAGAAACACCAGTTCACCATTTCACAAATACTTCCCAACATCACTACATTAATCAAAGAATATTGTGCATTCTTATCACAAGAA